AGGAACAGCCAGAGGACCATGAGGATGCTCACCGTGTGACCCCGGAGGCCGTTAGAAATCTCTCCTGGAGCTGTGTCCTGACCCAGCCCCCTCCCTGAGAAGGTTTAGAAACCAGATCTGCAATCAGGGGTGACTTAGGTGCAATACCACCAGTGACCAGCATGGGGAGCCAACCCCGGGATCCGCACCAGGCCCTGAGCCCAGCACCAGACGACCCTCAAAGGTCCCGCCTCCTGGCAGGAATGGCGGAACCTTCCCTGTCCTGAATATGCACAGAAGCAATTGGCTGCGTCGTAGCCCCACATCTGCATCTTGGAACAGTCCAACGCCAGGAGCCGCACCTGTTCAGCCCCGGCCTCTGTCCTCGGCCCCCCCCCCCCCCCGCCCCCAGCCCCCAGCAGCTGCATAACCTTTGGCCAGTGTCCTACTTCTCTGACCTTCAGATGTCTTTGTGGTCAAACGGGGATGGTAACTGCTATGTGGGGATGGTAACTATTAGGTGAAGGAGCCCCGGGGCCCTGCTGGTGAGGAGGGCCGTCCTCATCATTACTGACCCGGAGGGCTTGCGCTCTGGCCGCCGGCCCGGATGCGCCAAGCGGTCAGATTGGCGAGCAGCTGCTGGAAGTGGAAGGTGGGCAGCGGAGGGTCCGCGTCCTCAGAGGTCTCCTGCAACCTGGCAGGGGAGGGGGGTCAAACCGGAAAACCCGAGGCTGGGGGCAGGTGGGGCCAGGGAGCCCCCAGCTTGGGTGGACAGCAGGGAAGGCCCCAGACCACAGAGCGTGGACTGGAGCGTGCCCAGACCTCAGAGACCACCCGGAATGGCCAACCCCACCCCTGGGGACCCCGCGAGACACTCACAGGAACGTGAGCTGTGCCTCCCCTGGCTGCCCAGCATCCTGGGGGCCCGACAGGCTGGAGTGTCGTAGAGTCAGGGCCAGGCCCGCCCCTTCCAGCCTCAGCTGCACGGGGAGTGGGGTGCCCCCAGAGGGGACCCAGAAGGTCAGTGTGACGGGCTGTCCATAGCTGAACCGCTGGTCTCCCAGGAACATCTCTAAAGACGAGAGAAGGCGGCTTTGACATCTTTACTTAATTAGCTTGGTTTTAAACATCTATGCTATATTGATTTTATTGACAACTAAACATTCAAACAAGATAAAACTACAGAAGAAGAAAACCGAAGGCCTCCCGGTGTAGCGGAAGCTGAGGGTGGCCTCCCCCACGTCCCCTGCAGGCCGGCTTCACACGCCTGTGACCTTGCAGTAACACGGGGCCCCCTGCCTGGCTTACTGCTCTGCCTTGAACTTGGGTTTATAAGCTCTATAGGAGCAGAGGAGACACGATATACGCACGATGCACAGTGATGGCACCCGGCCGCCCGGTGACAATGCCCCATGAGCAGACTTTGGTGGCCCTGTGCCCATGGGAGCTTAGTGAGGCTCAGAGCAAGCACAAGGTCAAGGTCGGTGTGCGACATGCAGGTGCTGAGCTGAGCAGGGCCGCTGACTGCCCCGCGGCCACGCTTTCCACTGGAGCCACAACATGCTCAGGGCAGAAGGAAGGCAGTAGCGTTCCAAGAAATAAAGGAGGGCTCAAGGGCCCAGTCACACTTTCGAACTTGTGCTGGTTTTCTGGATCCTGCAAATGTGTAGGCTGAGAAGCGGCCACACGGCAGGAAAGGGCACGCCGGGACACCACCCACTCCGTGTCCCTGCAGTCCTTCCGCACTCAGGAGTCAGCCAGAGGTAGACTGTGTTGGTGGGCCGTGTGCGTATCAAGAAGTGAAATAAAAATGGTTGACTCCATCTACCTACACTGTGCCCAGCACTCAGCACAGGACCCAGGGAGTACTTCGGGAGTGAGTAACTTCTTTCTCTTAAACGTGTCAACAAGGTGGCCATGGAAGAGCATGTGTTCTGCGTTCCTGGGCTTCAAGCACCTGCCCCGAGTAGGGGCCTCAGGACCCCTGTGACTCGTGCTTCCTGGCTCGGCGCTGTGTCCACAGAGCAGCTCAGACACCTGCGCACCATCTCTCCGGCCCTTCTTGGAGAGAGAGGTCAAGGGCAGGACTGGGTTGGGGGAGCCAGCGGACCCGGAATCTGGCCACAATAGAGCAAAGAATGGACTCCTGCATCCTGACTCTAGGTCTGGTCCAGTTTCTAGGAGACCAAGATTGCCGCATTTGGTGAGGGCTGGTTCAGAATGATCTAGAATTTCTTGTTTCTGCAGGAATCCTGTGACCCCGGGAAGAGCATTCAGTGGCCCTGGTTGGGTGACAGACTGATGGGAAATGTACAGGTACTTCTGGGAAGGAGCCTGGTGGCAAGGCCTTGATCAGAAAGCCGGCGGGGGGGGGGGGGGGGGGGGGTGGCTCTGGCAGACCCTGCAGGGCACGTGGTTGGCAGAAAATGGCCCCCAGAGGTACCCAGGTCCTGATCCAAGGAATCTTGCAAATATGTCATATCGCATAGCAGGGGCAATTAGGACCGCAGATGGAATTAAGGCTGTTGATCAGCTGACCTTCAAGTAGAGAGATTATCTTGGGTCAGCCACCTGGGTGCAGTGTGCTCACAAAGTCCTTACCGCATGGGAGAGGGGGGGCGGAAGAGCCTCCATAGGGAGACCGGACAGTTCTGGAGAAGGAGGAGAGGCTGCGAGCTGAGGGATGTGAGTGGCCTCCAGAAGCCAGAGAAGGCAAGGGACCAGATCTGCCCTGGGGTCCCGGGAGCATGGCCCCGTGGATGCCGTGATTTTAGCTCAGACTCCTGACCTCCAGAACGCTGAGAATAAGTGTGCATTGTTTGTAGCCACTAGGTTGGTCGCAGCAGGAAACGAACTTGGGGCAGCCCTGCCCCTGCCCGTGGCCTGCAGGTACCTGGTAGTGTGAGCTCCTCCTCATCATCTCGATTCAGGAGGAGTCCCCTGGGGCTCCAACGCGCAGGATGCTCTGGGCCCCCCACGCTTGCGGCCCGCCAGCCCTCGGCTCCTGGGTAGCAAACACACATGCCCATGTGAGAATCTGGAGGGTGGCCTCCGCCCCCTCCGGCCTCACGCCCTTCCTGGGGTCCCACGGATGGCCCCTAGGGGCCTGAGCACAGCCTGAGTCAACCGGCCCAGGGAGGGGGAGAGACTGTTCTAGAGAGAGGCCGGCAGGGGGTGGGGGGTGAGAGCCAGCTGGTGCTAGCTAGCAAAGGCCGCCCACAGCCAGGCAGCTCCGACGCCCATCCCAGAGTCAGGGTGGGGGTCTTGGGGTGGGAGGAAGCCCCAGAAGAAGGGAGGAAGCTCAGCGTGCCGGCTCTGTTTCGGGCAAAGTCAGACCTCCGGGCCTGCCTTGCCCCTTCGGTGGGCTCTGGGCACAACATGAAGACACGGCCTGGAGACCCCAGCACGGGGGACTGGGGCACGGCGACACCGGAGCCATCACTAACAGCACGGACTGGAGCCCCCCTTCAGGTCTTCAGAGACACTCCCTCACCCACGACCTCGCCACCCCTGTCCAGCTGCACCGAGGACGCCTCCTGGTTAGGAAGTGGTCAAGCCAGGATGAGAACCCAGACCCTCCTTCCTGTCCCCTCCTACTGACGGCACTACACAAGCATAGTCTGGCGTGGAGCAAACGACCTCAAGGGGGCAGCTGGGGAATGGGGTGAGGAGGGAGGGATGTAGGGAAAGAGGTCAGAAAGAGGAGGTCTGGGGCTCCTCGGTGCAAGACTAGATTCTGCCTTCACGCTGTCTCTCTCTCTCTCAGCTAGAAATAAATAAAACATTTAAAAAAATTAAAAAAAAAAAAGGGGGGAGCGCCTGGGTGGCTTAGTCGGTTAAGCGTCCGACGTTCGCTCAGGTCATGATCTCGCGGTTCGTGGGTTCGAGCCCCGCATCGGGCTCTGTGCTGACTGCCCGCTCAGAGTCTGGAGCCTGTTTCTGAGTCTGTGACTCCCTCTCTCTCTGACCCTCCCCTGCTCAGGCTGTCTCTCTCTCTCTCTCTCCTAGAAATAAATGAAACATTAAAAAAAAATTAAAAAAAAAAAAAAGACTAGGTTCTGCCTTTCATTGGCTGTGTGACCCTGGGCAAGTTACTCAGCCTCTCTGCAGGTGGTTCCTCATCTGCAAAATGGGGACGATGAAGTATTCGCGGCCCAGCAACAATTCTCAGAGTTGGTCTTAATACTCCGGGTAGATCCTGAGACTCTTTCAGGGGGCCCACGAGGTCGAACTATCTTCCTAGTAACGCTAAGATGCTATTTGCATCTTTCATGCCGTGTCTTACCAGCAAATGGCAGAATTTTCCAGAAACTGCAAGTCATGCGATATCACAACAGACTGACCTCTACTAATCCAGCCTTTAAGAGATGTGCAAAACTATACAACAAATACACCCCCCTCTTTTTGTCTTTTTAAAAAAGTTATTTTCCACAGGCTGATATTATTCTGTTATATATTTACTATGCTCAGTTTTCACATTTTTAAGTACAATTTATTGTCAAGTGAGCTACCATACTTAAAAATTAAAAAAAAAATTTTTTTTAACATTTATTCACTTTTGAGAGACAGAGAGGGACAAAATGTGAGCAGGAAAGGTGCAGAGAGAGAGGGAAACAGGCTCTGAAGCAGGCTCCAGGCTCTGAGCTGTCAGCACAGAGCCGTACGTGGGGCTCAAACCCATGAACCTTGAGATCGTGACTCGAGCCGAAGTCAGACGCTTAACCACCTGAGCCACCCAGGTGTCCCTACGATGGTCATTTTTAAGTGAATTAATATATAGTTATTTTTAAATTGCTGTCTCCATTTCTAAGACAGAAAATATCCATGTCAACAACCCACATTAAGAAAAGTGCTTTGAGGTCCTCGGTCATTTTCAAGGGCCTGAAGGGATCCAGAGACCAAAAAAGTCTGAGAATTGCTGGCCTGAGAGTCATAGTGAGGTAACCTGAGATGCTGAGACCAATGCGCCCTGCCCCGTGCCTGGCTCAAGGTGAGAACACAAAATGGTATTATTGTTCAGAGGATCTACAGAATGTGCCCCTTCTGTGATGCCTAGACTCAGACCTCAAGGCCGGCCCCATGCTGAGCCCGGCTCTGTCCTGCTTTCTGTGCGAGCCTCCAGCAGAGGGCGCAGTGCCCTCACATCTGGGGCTCCCCAGAGCTAGCGCTCAAGGTTCTAGCCTAGTGGACACCCCACTCCCGCCTGGGGGAACTGCAGGGGATGGGGGGCTCTGTGGGGTGCAGCAAAGGTCCCCGTGGGCTGTGATTTAATGCACAGCCTCACTGCTCTCCGGCTCCAAAGATGCACATGCACCACCTGGAATTGGGGACCCAGGGCACCGTGGCCCCGCCAGGCTCTGCACCCAGACAGAATGGCCTGCGCAAAACTCAGGAGCTGACAAACCCAGGTGCCAACAACTAAATTCGGTGACGTACCTTTTCCGGGCCTCAGTTGCCTCATCTGTAAAACGGGAAGGGGAGAACCTACCTTCCAGGGAATCCATGCGTTCCTGTGCATGCAAAGAGCTCAACACAGTGCCTGGCATACATCAAGTGCTCAATAAATAGAGTCCAGGGGCCTGAGTGTGAATCCTCAGCAGACTTCTTGGAAATCCCCGCCTGGGATGTAAAGGCGGCCACACACCCAGCTCCCAACTCTGCCAGAGGCTGGGTAAAAGGCAGGGGCCAGGGAGGGAGCCAAAGGGGTGCAGGAGGTACTGGGGAGCACTGAGAGGCATAGAGGGGCCTTGGGGAGGCTGCCCCCTCCTCCCCATTCACCACAGCAGGATCTCCCCAGAGCAGGACGGCCTGGCCCCGCCCTGGGCGCGGAGCAGACCTCTTGGAGGTCGCTGTGGGCCATGGGGAGCACGTCTTACCCTGGCGGAGGTCGGAGAGGATGTGGTGCTCCTGAAACTGGGCAGCGGCCGCGCACACCTTGGAGTGCCCGTAGCAGAAGCAGCTGCTGCAGCCGGCTGGGTTATGGGGCTGCAGGTTGAACGTCCCTGGACGGCATCTGAACGCAGGCAGGACGTGCCGGCGAGGGGGGGGGGTGTAGGGGGACAAATGAGTCAGGGAGGTCCAGGAGACCCCAGCTACACTAACGTGAGTCAGCATCACTGGGGAAACTTAAAATACACTTCCTCCCCCCAGATTTACAAGTTGCAAAGATCATGCAGAGAGTTTTCCTGCGGCCTTTCCCCCCAGTGTCCCTCAATGTCAGCATCTGACATCGCCGGCAATCACTTGACGAAGCCAAGAAACTCACATGAGTTAATGCTATTTACTAAACTCCAGACTTTCTTATGATTCCTGCCCCCTTTCCCACACATGTCGGTTTTTTGTTCCGGATCCGATTCAGGGCATGGCATCTCCTCCGGTCTCGCCAGCTTCTCGGTGTTTCTGGTCTTTGATGCCCACGTGACATCACTGGTAACGTTAGCCTTCACCACTTGGTCAAGGTGCTGCCCGCCCTGCTCTGGCAAAACTGCCATCTGCTCGCTGTTAGAAGCAAGTCACTAAATCCAGCCCACGGTGCGGAGCAGAGGAATTAAGCTCCGTCCCCTGGAGGGCGGAGTATTAAAGAATTGTACGCACAGGCTGAAGCCACCACAGTAATTAACAAATATTTTGCAAGGGAGACACTTGGGGCTATGCAAATAGCATGTTTCTCCTTAAAATTCTGCCCACTGAATTAGGTGGCTCTCGCCTCCAGCGACCGTTACAGTGAAATCTGAACTAATTTTGTATTTCCCTCATTCCTTCTACATCTATTATTTGGAATTCTTTTGCAAGGAAGACTTGTTCCTTCGTCTCAGTGTATTTATTTTTTCCCCTCATCTGTGGATATATCAGTGTGGATTCGGGGATATTTATTTTAGGCTCTGGGTTATAATCCAATACTGTTGTTATTTATTTTGTTGTTCAAATCGTTCTAGCTTTGGGAGTTCTTTCAGATTAGTGCTCATGTCCTTTTTTTTTTTTTTTAAACGTTTTTATTTATTTCTGAGAGAGAGACAGAGCCTGAGTAGGGGAGGGGCACAGAGAGAGGGAGACAGAGAATCCAGAGCAGGCTCCGGGCTCTGAGCTGTCAGCACAGAGCCTGACCTGGGGCTTAAACCCATGAGCCTTGAGATCATGAGACTTAACCAACTGAGCAACCCAGGCACCCCAGTGCTGTGTCCTTTTGACACAGGCTCCCTTCCTGGTTTAGAGTTTTGGTGTTTGTTTGTTTTTTTAAGTTTATTTATTTTGAGAGAGACAGAAAGTGAGAGCAGGGGAGGGGCGCAGCGAGGCAGTGGGGGGGGGGCGGCATGGAGAGAGAATCCCAAGCAGGCTCCATGCTGTCAGCACAGAGTTTGACACAGGGTTTGATCCCACGAGCCATGAGACCATGACCTGAGCTGAAATCAAGAATTGGAGGCTTTACCCACTGAGCTGCCCAGGGGTCCCCTGGTTGAGCTTTTTTCTGTTTGTTTTCATCTGCTTTTCGTTTTTTGGGTTTTTTAAATTAAGCACTTTCTTGCTTTCTGTTACCAGAGCCCCTGGGCTCACCTTGCATTTTTCCCTGCCCCAGCTCTGGCATCAGCCATTTCTCCAAGGAGCCCTGGAGAAATATTTCAGATGCCCGGTTTGCACCATGGGGGCTCAGTGTGAGCTGGCCGGGGCAGAGGTATCGGACTCCTAAGAAGCTGTCAGTGACCTCAGAGGTGTAGCTAGCTCCTCGGAACACATTTCATCAAGCTACCCCATTTCACAAGCAGGCAAAGCGAGGCGCAGAGGGAGGACTCCCCCGAGGTGCAAGGCAGTGGGGCAGAGTTGTAGGAGAACCCCAGTGGGATCTGGCTCCCCGCCCCCACCCCACCTCCTTGCTTGAGGGATGTCAGAAAAGAAGTCCCCACAAGCAGCGCAGCTTCCACTCCGGGGCCTACAGGCCACATGTGGACAAGGTGAGGGGGCGGCCTGGGGCTGACCCAGGCAAGTCAAGGCCAGGGCCAGCCACGGCTTCGGCTTCCTGAGCCAGGAGAGGCCCCGCACGGACTCGCAAGAGTCGAATCCACAGTATACTCATGTCAGGAGCTTTAGACACAGCGCCTACGGCCAGAGACTCAAAGAGCCCCAGACAGACCCTGTGTGGCTGCAAAGGGCTTCAGAGATCAGAGCCAAAGCCAGGAAGAGAACATTCGTCTGCCAGCCCCGTTGCTTGGAGCTCGGAGACCCCCTGAACACACAAAAGAGAAAGCTTAAGGACCGTGTGGCTTTGGAAAAGTAATTTTGGCTCGCTGAGCTTTAGACATTCCAATTGTACCACGACAGGATGCTGAAGGTGGCAAATGAGCTTGAATCTCAGCTCAACCGAGAGGCGCTTCTTGGAGCAGGACGGAGAGAAGGATTCTGAGGTTACCGTAGGGCTCATGGTAAAAACCGCTGTGCTCCCCTAGTGAGGTCTGCCCTGGGTGGGAGCCGGGAGGGCCGTGGCCGAGCTCCCCACTGGGTGTGAGGCAGGAAGGCTACGGTGCAAGTACAAGGTATTTGCTCTCCCTGGATTAGATCATCTCTCCTATGCTTTCCAGCTCTTTCTTTCGAAGAGGTAAAAGAAAAACAACCATCACAGCTTTCAACCGTCGGCGGCAGTGGGTCAAAGCAGACCCAGTGCCAGAAGGTTTAGGAAACTTCCAGAATAGCAGACCCGCGGTGCTCCGGGAGGGGTGCCGGGTGGTGAGGGTGCCCAGGGCTGCACGGACCACGCCCCTGCGCCCCCACCGCCACAGGCCCGGCAGGCTTACTGCCGAGTCGGCTCGCCCACCTGTCACACTGCTTGCCTTCCACGTTCTCCTTGCAGGGGCAGCGTCCACTGCGCGGGTCGCAGGTGCCCAGGCTGCCGGCAGGGCTGCAGAAGCAGGGTCTGCAAGACACAGGACCGGAGGGGCGAGTCCCGGGTGAGCACAGCCCGTCCTCCTTGGAATTTCCCCATCCTTCCCCAAGCCCGAGAGGGCCGGGAGGCGGGCGGGCCCAAGAGCCCGCCGCCTGACTTCACTGTTCCCACCTCGCTGAAGAGGTGGCCCATCCACTCACCTGAAGAGCGATCCGTCTGCCCGCCCGGCCGCCCTCTCTTCCAGCCACCCGGCCGCTGATGCAGCCTTCCAGCCGCCTGTCCACTGACCTGCCTACCCGCCTACTCTCCCTTCCTTCCTGCCTGCCTTCCTTCCTTCCGTCCGTCCGTCCATGTACCCTTCCTTCCATCCATCTATCCATGTACATATCCTTCCTTCCTTCGATCCATCCATTCTTCCTTCCATACATCCATGTACATATCCATGATTCCTTCTTTCCTTCCTCCCTTCCATCCATCCATCCCTCAATCTGTCCTTCGATCCCTGCATCCTTCCTTCCTTCCTTCAATCCATCCATGTACATATCCTTCCTTCCTTCCTTCCTTTCTGTCTTCCATCTATCCATCCATGTATGTATCTTTCCTCTCTTCCATTCATCCATCCTTCAATCTGTCCTTTGATCCATCCTTCCTTCCATCCATCCATGTACATATCCTTCCTTCCTTCCTTCCTTCCTTCCTTCCTTCCTTCCTTCCTTCCATCCATCCATCTGCCATCGGGCAAGACATGATCCCTGTCCTTATAGAGCCGACAGCCCAATGAGGACGAACAAGCAGACAGGTACTGTACTCTGACACATTCTATGGGACAAGATGTACAAGAGGCTGTGGGTGCACCAAGGAGGTGCTTGGGGTGGGGAACAAGGGGACAGGTAGAGGGAAGACTTCCTGGGAGGGGGGGCGGCACCTCAGCTGAGAACTGAAGAAAGTGTAGGAGTCTTCTAGACACAGGCTGGTGAGAGGCAGGGGGGGTGGAGAGAGGAATGCTCTGGGCTAGGAGCATGTGCAAAGGCCCAGAGGCAGAGCAACGCTAGGGAAGCATCCAAGCTCCCGCCTAAGGGCCAGATTTGTGCCTAGAACAGCTGAGTATTTTGTGAGGCATCCAAGACTCCCCGTACAACAACAAATGCATTTCCACTGCCTTTCAGATATACAAAGAGACTGTTGCTACCAAAGCCAAGTTCATTTCAAAGTGATTCTGAATTTCTAAGAGCTTTACTTTTTCGGTCACGGGTGCTTCTCAGGCAAGGGGTGGTCAGTGTGTTAGACCCTTCTTCTGAGGTCCAGGCCCCAGCAGCCCCCTGCCTGTCTCTCTCCTGGATGCCCCGTGAGCACTGCAGACTCAGCCTCTTCCCGCCACATCGTGCTCCCCTGTCGCGAACGGCCTCCCCCCACCCAGGTGCCTGGGGACTCAGCCTTCATCCCTTCTTCCTCCCCTGCTCCCTGGTGACCACATCCTGCCACGTCTGCCTTCCGAGGGGCTCTGGAATCTGTCCGGGTCTCTGCCACTTCCTCTCCGTGGCCAAACCCTCATGCAGGCTGCCACGCCTCCCAGCTGGTCTGGCTGCAGCCTCTACCCCAGCCTCCAGCCTCGTTCCACTGCTGCCTCACGTGTGTCCACGCTCCTCCTAAGGCCCCCCCAACCGTCCTCCTCCGCACGCCCTCCCGCCTTGCAGAATGTGCTCACCAATACCGAGCCCCACCTCGTGCTCACCTCAGGGCCTTTGCATATGCTCTTCCGATGCCTGGAACCCCGCCCCTGCCACTTGGATCTCACCCTAGAACTCAGTGCCTTGCACGGGAAGCCTGCCCTTGACCCCCAAGACCAGCGGGACACACGCCCTGTCTCCCAGCCTCCCGGGACTGGGTGTCTGCCGTCCTCGCCTGAGGCTGGGGTGGCTGCAGAGTTCAGAATGGGAAGGAGTGACTGAGGCAGGAACGGAAGGAAGCAGGAAGGACAGCTGATACCCCCTTCCTGCTGCTTCCTGCTACCCAGTCCCAATCCAGCCGACCCCTCCCCGTGCCCCGCTCGGCCGTGCACGCCCGCTCCCCTGGCCCCTCACCTGCAGCCTCCCTCACTGAGTGAGTGGAACCCGGGCAGGCAGCGGTCACACTTCCAGCCCGTGACGGTGGGCTTGCAGGCGCAGGCGCCCAAGTCATCGCACTGGAGACGCAGGGAGCCTGGGGAAGGAGGGGCACAGGGCAGTGGGGGCCTGGCCTGGGCGGGGGGGTGCAGGGGTGGGGGCGGCGGTGCCCGGACCGGGCCGGGGTGGGGGGCAGGGGCTGGGCGGCAGGGCCCGCTACCTGCCGGGTGGCAGTCGCAGGGCTGGCACGGCGTCCGGGGGCTCCAGCGATAGAAGCCCTCCTGGCAGCGCTCGCAGTGTGGCCCGGCCGTGTGGTCCCGGCAGCGGAGGCAGCGCCCGCCGTGGCCCGTACTGCGGAAGAGCTCCCGGTCGAACACGCACTCCTCAGAGCGGCCGCTGCAGTTGCAGGCTGTGAGAGGGGGCAGGGGGCTGTGCGTGAGTGGCCGGGGCCCGGGGGGCGGGGGGCGGTCTGTGCCAGTCAGCCTCCTTGTGAGGAAGGAGCAGGCAGCTCGAGGCAGGTCAAGGATGAAGTTCGGGCCCAGCGTGATCAAGGACATAGAGACCGGTCGACTGATCTTCCCACACAGGACCCTCAAGAACGAAGGGGGCACCACAAGGGCGGACCCTCCCAGGAAAGCCTGGACGCACAGTCCGCAGCCACTGTCACGACTGGCCACCTTCTGCAGCGGCGGCGGGGCTCCCTCCGGGATAACCGTGCGCATCTGGTTCCCGGTGCCATGGGGTCACGCAGATGCACGGGAAGGACAGGTCGCCCCTCCTTCGCTCATTCATTCAATTTTATAAAGGAGAGCGTGCAAAGGCTCGCTCCGTCTTAGCCCCCGTGGTGACCCCGGCTCCTGCGTCGTGCTAACCACTGTGACGGGGGCCAGAGGCAGCGAGCAAGCAAAAATCCTACAGGGGCAGGGGGGACCCGGGAGCGGAGAGGAGGGACCCCACGGGCTGTCCTGGGGGTGGGAGGAGCCCTCCTGGAAGAATCTGAGGGTGGGCAGGAAGGGGTCGGCTGGGCGAGGGAGGGGGAGTCCCAGGCGGCAGGTGACGGCGGCCAGAGATCAGCCCAGTGCAGGGGCACTGGCATGTCAGGTGACGGGCAGCAGGAGGGGACAGCGAGGGTGCAGGGGCTGCTGTGAGGTCAAGAGGTCAGCAGAGGGTGAACCGGAGAGGCGAGGCGGCCACGGTCAGTGGGCTTCACCTGCAGCAAGGCGGGCTGGGGGAGGGGCACAGTGCTGGGTGTATCTGTGTCTGCACGTTAGCAAGGGCCTGGGGGCCGGTGAGCAGGGAAGTGGGAGCTTCGGGCCCAGAGAGGGGGTGATATGTGGAAAGACACAGTCAGGGGGGCCGGAGGGCCAGGGATGAGGCCGTGCTCGGGGCAGCCTGCCCTGGGCGGCAGCTAGGGGCCAGGCACGAAGCCCCTGGCTTCCAGCCTGCTGGCAGAGAGGACAGAGGTGTGACCCCAGGGCGAGGACACGCAGGAAAAGTGGTCTGGCTTTTTGTGTCCCCGCTGTGGAGACAGACTCGGGCTCAGCACGGGGGAGCCCCCGGCACAGCTTCCTTGGCCCCAGGGAGGACTCCTTGGTGGAGTGAGAGGTGACCCCCAGCCAGTAAGGGCAGCAGGAACGCAGTGGCCCCAGGAAACTCATGGGACAGGCCATCCAGTCCCCGCCCTCACCCCGCCCCAGCTGCCCCGGGATGACCAGCTCCCCCAGCTCCACACAGAGCCCAAGACAATTCAGAGGACTCTCTGGGAGGTGGGCGGGGCTGGGGACCATGGGGAAGCTGGGGTGGGCTGGTGCGCCAGCCAGGCGGGGACAGGGGCGTGTCCGAGCGCACTGTGTGCAACCTTGCATCCCTGGAGAAGGTAGGACAACGCCCTCCTCTCCAGCCCGTCCCTGAGGTTAGGTGGTCAGAGCCACATGACATGGGGACTGCGACATCAAAAGCTGTCTGGGGGGCCGTGGGAGAGGCTGGGGGGGCAGGTCAGCGCCCCTCCAGGGCCTGGGACCTTCTGGCTTTGATTAGCATTTGAGGTTGGAGCCGCTGAAACAAAGGCACAGTGGGGGGGGGGCTTCCCAGCCCACTAACCACAGCCGCCTCCCCTGGGGGGTCTGGTCTGAGGGCGGGGCTTGCAGGGGAGGACTGAGGAACAAAGTCCCCTCCAGCTGTGTCTGTCCCCTCCAGCTGTGTCCGGAGCGGCCCCCAGCGGGGTCTCGGGGAGTCTGCCTCCCTGCCCGCCGCGGCGCGCAGAGACATCCGGTGGCCCAGGACACTCACGCACACACTCGTTGGCGGCCTCGGCGGTGCCCCGGGCCCACGGGCGGTCCTGGAAGAAGGGCAGGCAGCGCTCGCAGTCGGTGCCCGTGGTGTTGTGCTGGCAGCGGCAAGCCAGCCGGCCAGTCCCCTCGGGTCCACACTCGCTGGCGTGTCCATTGCACTTGCACCTGGGGGCACACAGAGGAGGGCGTCCAGAATTGGGGAAGGCAAGGGGGTAATCAGCAGGCGGCGCCTGCATTCAGACGAGCCCCCCATCCTACAGCTCAGTGGTGGCACTTTAAGGAACCCCGACGTCGTGCGGGGGTCACCAGTGACAGAGAGCTGACCGCCCCAGGCTCTCCTGAGCTCTGTCTGCAGACAAACCCCTTCCATCTTCACATGCCTGCTGTGATTACGCCCATTTGACAGATGGAGGAACTGAGGCACAGGCAGGTTGCCCAGGGCCCCCAGTTAGCAACGGCAGAGTTTATAAGGGTGCTGCCGCCGAAGGCTTCCCCCCCAGGAGGAGTCCCAGTTGAGAACGACTCAGAAAGAAGTGACCCCCGCTCCCTCCGGGCAGAGGGTGGAGGTAGGGGGCGGCCAACGAGCTGCCTCATGCAGATCTTTGTGTCGAAAGGGCTGAGAAAGAGGTTGCTCCTTAGCGGACAGCCCCCGACTCATCTCAAGTCCCCAGTGGGTCTGTGCCTTTGGGGCACCCCCTCAGGCCCATGTCGCACCCGTCCCCCCTCCCACAAGATCGTGAGCCAGGTGGAAGGGGGCAGGACAGGTGACCCCGGTCCCCAGCAGCCAGACTGAGTCACTGAGGGACACCACGATTTCCAGCTTCCAGCCGTCCCCGACCGAGCTCGCCTCGCTGGAGCCTCACGGCCGCAGCAGGAGGGACCATAATGACCCCCATTTCACGGATGAGGAAACTGAGGTTCGGGCCACAAAGTAACAGGTGCTAAGCAGCAGAGCTAGAATCCGAGCCCTGTTCTATTCCGCGCAGACCCCGAGCTCCTGGACACTCCCTACTCCACGGCCACTTGGTGGCTCCCATAAGCTGTGTTCCACCTTCTGCCCTCGGTGGGGGTGAAGAAACTGCTGACCACTGCTCGCACCCCCAGGGGTTTTGTTTTTTTTAATTAGGGGACACAGGGCTTGGGACGGGCACAGGGCATCGGCATCGTTTCCCCCATGGGAGCCCAGGGGAGGCGGGCAACACCCCAGTATTTCTGGCAGGGGTGAGGTGGATGCCAGTCTTGAGAGACAAGGACCCTCTGCCTTGGGACAAGGGACCGCCCGTGTCCCCACGGGGGTCTGTACAAACCACCCTGCCCCCTGAAGCTCTCTGACCCCGAGGGAAGGAGTGAAATTCCTGTAGGCCATTGGAGGACGGAGGCCACCGGGCCACCGGCCCCCCGGCCCCCCCAGCGGGCTGCAGAGGGTGGTCCGGCTCCGGCAGATGGGACCCAGATGTTCTCTGGCCTGAAGCCCCCTGACAGCAGGCGCTGGGGGCAGGAACACCTCTGTTTCCTTCTTTACTTTACAAGAAGGAGGTGCCTAAGCATTTATGCTGAAGACGCCCTTTGGGCCCCCCTGGATCCACAGCCCGCGTGTGTGCTCAGTACCTGCGGCCACGTGGGAGACAGGCCTGGCGGGTTGAGGAAGACGAGGCCTCTGCCCTTCGGGGGCACCTGCTTCTCCGAGAGCGAAGATGCTTAGAGAAACCAGAGCGTGTGCCGATCAACCCGGGGTCCCGAGCCTGGCGGCTCCCACAGGAGGGAGGGGCGGGCCTCCAGCGGGCATCTGCTCACTGCGGGGCTGAGCCTTCCGGGTAGTCGGCTGTGGGGCTTGGGAGCTGCCTGAGCTGTTCGTCCGCACAGAGATGCCCCAAAGTCTTACTAAAAACGTCTGGGTGTCCACGAAGCCCTCCCATAGCCAGGTTTACCAGGAGACCGCGGCAGCAGTGGATGTAGGGGGGGGGCCGACCCCATGGTTTGTAAAATCAGGGGCGCCGATAAAGGGAGTAGAGCTGTGAAAGCTTTCAAGTGCTGCACCTGCCCGCAGTCAGCCCTGACCAGCTCTGCTCGGAGCACACGTCAGACGGAATGTCCGTCCGGCTGTAAAGTGCAAACAGGCTGTTTCAGGTGGGAGCACAGACCACTGGAGGATCCCTGTGTAAGTGCCACTTCCTCTGTGGCATGAGTGAGCAAACCCGTACGATGCAAAAAGGGAAGAAAAAGAAAAAGGAAAAGGAAGGAGGGAAGGGGAGGGGAGGGAGAAAGGAGGAAAGGAGGAGAGGAAGGAGAGAGAAAAGGGAAGGGGGAAGGGACCTCCAGGCAGAGGGAACGGCAAGTGCAAAGGTCTGGCAGGTCCTGTGCATGGCAGTGGGAACACAGCTGTGGGATGCGGCTGGGCCGCGAAGGCCTTGAATGCCAAGTCCAGAGGACCAGGATCCTGCTCCCTCTGTCTCCCCAGATGCCCAGAGGCACATGAAGGGGCTTCTTCACCCTCCACGGCAGCCACTGGGTGACTCCCAAATGACAGCGACCTTGTGCGCCACGGCCAGAGTCCTGGGCCCCTCGGGCCCCGCCAAGCTGCCCTCCACCTACCTGCCACCCACGGAGAAGTCAGATACGGCATAGTAGTAGGACTGCAGCACCCTGGGGTCCTTGAAGATGTCGTCCCCAAACGTGTTGAGCCGGTCCAGAGAGATGAGGAGCTCAGTGCTGGTGACCCACTCCTGGGAGGAGGCGGGGGACACGGTGGGGGAAGGAGGGAAGGCGTCAGCGAGCTCCTGGGCGTTTACTTTCACCCTGCTCTGCCTGAAAGTCCAGCCGGCTGCCCTGGGGGTCTCCCGGGACCCAGAGACGAGCGAAGCTTAGACAAACTCCAGGAAATAAGCAGCCTGTGCTTTGGGGTCATGCCAGTCTGGGCGCTGGGCCACTCATTGGCTGTGCAAGTTTGGGAGGTGGCTCAACGTCCCGGAGGCTCTGTTTTCCCATCTGTAAAATGGGACAAGGAATTGTGCGGGCCTCACAGGGTGCCTGGAGGAGGAGGATGGCCAGTGTAAGCAGCGGGGCGTGGGGGCTGTCACGTGCTTAGTAACTGGCCGTGGTGCTGGGGCGGGGGGAGGGGGGCAGGGCCAAAGCAGCCCATCCTAGAGTTTGTCATGCAGGTCACTTAACTTCTCCCAGGGGCTTCTGCACCCCCGTCCTAGAGGGTGGCGGAGGGAGAGCGAGTCCCAGTCCCCTTCTTGCCCGCGCAGCCGGGCCGGGTGTGGGGCAGGTCCTAGCTTCTAGGCTTCTCATAGGCTGAGGCTCCCACTGACAAGGCACCTGCCCCAGGCGACGTCAGTCCCACTTGGGACCCCTTATTCTCAGGGCACGCCCAGCCCCCAGGCTCTGCCTGGCACGTAGCAGGTACTCAGCAAACGCTAGCTGATGGCTGAATGACACCATCTCCCTGGAAGAGCATGGCGGGGAGGTAGGGGAGAGCCCACGTGAAGGCTGACATTTCCATGCGCCTGCTGTTATAATCAGAGGTACACAGAGGCAGCTCCGGTTGAATTTTAATCAACATTTTAATTCAGACCAGGAGCTCCTGGTTTAGCAATCAGACCCATCAGGGCAGAAACGAACTCCCGGCGAAGTCTGTCTTCGGGCCCCAGCGTGACGCGGCCCAGCGGGTCTCTGCTGCTCCCCCTCACCCCCACCCCCGCCGCCACACCGAGCTCAGCCACTTGGCAGCCCACTGCCTGGGACCCAGGGCCTCTGCCCAGGGATGTTTCTGCTGGGGAGAGGGCGTCTGGCACCGAAGACTTCAGTAGGAGCCTCAGCACCGAGCGGGGTTTGTAAGCGCCCATCACTCCACCAATCACTCCGCAAATGTCAGCGTGCATCCAGGGATCTGGCTCAAATGTACCAAGTCGGCCTTCTCCCAAGGTCTTTGGAGGGGGGGACAGAGGGACCCAAGACCAGCAGACACACGACCCATCCTGCCTTACCTCCCGCCCCCAAATGCTCCAGATCCTCAGAGGAAGCGCCGGCCCAGATGTGCCCAGAGGGGAGGGGGGGCGGGGTATGGGGGAGAAGGGCGAGGCAGGCTTGCCTTTGTTGTCCTTCTCCGACCTTGGTGTCCCCTGGGGGTGGGGGCGGGGCTTTCTCACTTAGGAGACCACAAGTCAGGGAAGGGCGTGGCCTGGGGTGCCGCCTGGGACCCAGCCCTCTGCTGCCTTCAGAAGACCTTGGCTAATAACTTGTAAGTAATCTACAGAGCTCGGAGCCTGGGGAGGGGACGTTGTCATTTTAAACAGAATCATGATGGTGACACAAGAATATTTTTCGGGAGATAAGCAGAGCCTGGTATCTGGGCATGTGATTCTCTACCAGAAAGGATTAGCCTTTTGCCCAAACAGAGGTCTGGCCTTTGCCCCAGCTCCTGGGAGATCATCTCTAAGCCCTTGGCATGCTCTGCTTGATAAGAATGTCTCTGTTTGCTGGGGTCTTGGGCGGCTCCAGACGGTCTAGGCTAACAGCTGGTTTAGGGGGTGCCTTGGGCCACACAGGGCCAGCCTGACCCCTGACAGTTGGCCGTGTCTATGTGACCGACCCCCAGAAAAGACGCTGGACGCCCAGGGACAGGTAATCTCCCTGGTCAGCAGTACTCTGTGCGCGTTGTACGCGCTGCTGGAGAAGTAAGTCCCATCCCACGACTCTCCTGGGAGACAGCAGGGGACTTCACACCAGTCCCTCCAGATCTCTTGTCGCTGGACGCTTAGCGCCTTCCTGCATCCTGGGACTCCTTCAAGGGAACCACTGAACCCGAGGGACCCTGAACCAGCGGGCGCCACGTCCTCTCGTGCTGGGCAGCCAGGGCAGGGGCCCAATCTCTTTCTGGGACTACGCGTTCCCTCTAGAAATAAACAGGATTCTGGCCCCCTTGTTATCTCTGACCGGCAAAGGGAATGTTCTGGATCTGTCGGGGGTGGGGTGGGGGAAGGGATGGCAGTGTTTTCTCAGCACAGGAAACTCAGGGAAGTGGACTAGGGGGCTGTCCGGCGCCCACAAATGTCAGGCCGACCACTGCGTCCGTAGGTGAAGGTCACAGACACTCGGGAGCATGGACGGGCATGGGCGCCGATCCAGGACCGCACGAACCAGAGCAGGCCCCGGAGGGCTGGACAGGGGCTGGGGGGGCACAGCCTGCCATCCCTTGCCATGACGATCAGAAGGGCAAGCTGCTGGGAGCTCTCACCCTCAAAGCGTGACTGAGCCCCTCTCACGTGCCAAGCACTGAGCTGGCCACTTAGAGTTGACTGTCTACACGAGGCTGTTTAAATTCACGGAAATGAAATAAGACTGAAAATTCAGTTCCTCGGTCAGGCTAGTCTCATTTTTTTTTTTTTTTTTTATTTCTAGGGGAGAGAGAGAGAGAGAGACAGCGTGAGCAGGGGAGGGTCAGAGAGAGAGGGAGACACAGACTCTGAAACAGGCTCCAGGCTCTGAGCTGGCAGTCAGCACAGAGCCCGACGCGGGGCCCGAACTCACGGACCCCGAGATCATGACCTAAGCGAAAGTCGGACGCTTAACTGACTAAGCCACCCAGGCGCCCCCAGGCTAGTCTCATTTCAAGTGCTCTGAGGATATGTGGCCAGTGGCTGCCATTGGATGCTGCAGGCAGAGACCACTTGGGTCACTGCAGAATGTTCTGGAGAGCATAGAACCAGGACTCTATGGTTCCCAAATTCGTATTCTTCCCATGTTTTTCTTTTTCTCTCTTTTTTTAATTAAAAAAATTTTTTAATGTTTATTTTTGACAGAGACAGAGAGTGAGCAGGGGAGGGGCAGAGAGAGAGGGAGACACAGAATCAGAAGCAGGCTCCAGGCTCTGAACTGTCGGCACAGAGCCCGATGCAGGGCTCGAACCCACAAACCGTGAGATCATGACCTGAGCTGCAGTTGGATGCTTAACCGACTGAACCACCCAGGCGCCCCTGCACAGTTTCCATTTTATCTTCATAAAAGCCCTTGGGGACGCACAGGGCAGGCAATGTTATCAGTTCACAGAGGAAGTGAGGCCCTCAGCAGGGCATTCTAGAAAGTTCTAGAAAGAGCACCAGTGAGGAGTCAGGACACTCAGGTTCTGGTCTGGGCCCTTCTGCCATGCCCCTGGCAAACCCCTTCTCTGCTCCAGGCCTCAGTTTCCCCACCCACACAAGGAAAGGGCCAGGTGAGTTGGTGGCTGCCATGGGGCTCCGGGAGCCAAAGGGCTTGGCCGCAGCGGGCAGGGGACGCCTCTGCTTGGCTGCGCAAGGCCTCTTTCATCTCTTTTACTGTGGCTTCCACAACACATTCAGATACAACAAAGGCTTCCGTTGTTAAGATCTTTCTACTTTTTTTTTTAAGCTTTTTTTTTTTTAAGTTTATTTTGAGAGAGACCGAGAGAGAGAGCAGGTGAGGGGCAGATAGAGAGAGGGAGACAGAGGATCCCAAGCATGCTCCACACCGTGGGCACACAGCCCGGTGCGGGGCTCGAACTCGCACCGCAAGATCATGACCTGAGTGGAAACCAAGAGTCGGATGCTGAACCCACTGAGCCTCCCAGGCGCCCCTGTGTCCTTTTATTTTCGACTTCCCCGAGTCTCCCCGCCCCCAGGCCTGGGCACCCCCACCCCCCCGCAGCCCAAGGCCTGCTCCTCTCTGACCTGCAACACGGGGCTCTCCTCGAAGTTGTAAGCGCTGGGCCGGCCCTCCAGGGTGGAGAAGGCCACGTTGCCCCCGCTCAGCGGGGAGATGTCGCTGAACTCGGAGGTGCAGAAGGCCACGCTCTCGTCCTCACCGGGGCGCAGGTAGTGACCCTCGGGCGTGCCGTACGTCCTCTGGCAGGAGGCGCTATAGTACTGGTAAGGCTCCCACGGGCTGCCCGTGTGGGTGCGCTTATAGATGGCAAAGCTCTCGGGGCGACTGGTGTGGAACTTCAGCCTCACGTAGGTGATCTCGTAAGCTTTCCCTGCAGCGGAAGACATGGACCCATTTTACAGAAGGGAAGGGGGTGTCACTGTCCTGGTCCAGGGAGAGCAGCAGGGCAACGCTGTGTACACGATCCTGGGAGGGTTGTTAGAGGCCGTCTGGAGCACTGCACTGGGGGTGCCGTGACGGATTAGTGATGTCTGTCAGGGGCACGGGAAGGAGAGCACAATTCTGGCACACTTCCGAGGTACCTGCCATCCCTTACCTAGGCCAGCTTGCCTCCCTGCACGGGAATCCGCATTGTAACGCCCCCGATAGGCGGCCAGCCCTTTTTGTCCAAGTATCTCCAGCAATGGGATGTTGCCACATTCTGTAGAAGCCTGCTTTACCATTAGAAAGTTGTTTCTTTTACTACACCCCAGCGAAACCAACCCTTCCACCTGTGCCTTTGGGCTCATCCCTCCCCCGTCTGGAGACATCACGCTCTGACTCCCTCGAACCCTAACACGACCCTCCAGGACCCTCTACTCTTCTGGTGTCCATCTGACTTCTCTTCTGGAAAAGAAGCCTCTAGAGAAGTCTATATCGGCTTGGCCCCATGGCCTCAACTCCTGACTTAGCCCTCAGTCCACTGCAATCCAGCTTCTTTGTTCTTGCAAAGCTGCCTTACCAACAGCCCTCCGTGGCCACAGCCAGGGGCCCCGGCCTTGCCTTACTTCCTGGGGCGCGGGAGGGGGAGTCCCCAGGCCTCCATGCTGCCCACCCTCCTGGGTCAGGCTCCTGGGCTGCTCCTTGGCCCCCCGCTCATCCCCTCCCCCAGTGCCTCCTCCTCCGTCAGCTTTAGCCCCGCTCTCCTCTCCAACCTGCCGACAGCGAGATGGGGGAGATTCGAACTTCACACTTCGGCCCCCACCCTGCCCTCTTCAGTTCTGGGATCTGCCCCAGGAGTGCCCACAAGATGAATCCAGACCCCCCACAATGACTCAGAGCTGTCCCGGAGGCCGGCACGGGCAGGAAGGGCATGGGTGGGGAGCAGAGGGGGCAGGGAGGGAAGGGTCCCTACATGCTCATTGGTCCTCGGTGGGGGTGTCATCGAGCAGCGCTCAGGACCGAAGAACCAAGTAGGTGGGGGTGTCATCGAGCAGCGCTCAGGACCGAAGAACCAAGTACTGCTGAGGATAGAAAGGAACGGACAGAACTCGCTCCAAGAGGGAGGGTGGCTATTTCTGGGGCAGGGGGCTGGGCTGGGTGAGTTGGGAGGGGGGTGATTGCAGCCTCCGCAGCCCACTGAGCATCGGCCCCTCGAAGCCAAGTGCATGTGTAAGTGCAAAATCAGCAGGGAATCAAGGGCTCATTTGGAAGGTGATTTCCCTACGGCCCGGACGTCCCCACCTGCTCACCCCTCACCTCCTACGGGCCTTCGCAGGGGTGCCCCTCCTCACGGAGCCTTCCTACATTTTGCACGTCCTCCCCCAGCTGGGGAGGGGCCGCCTGGGCACAATACGGGGGTATCGCACTGACCACGACACGCTCTCTCCCTGCTCACCTCATCAGCAGAGAACTATCTGCTCATCAACTTGCATCCCTCGCTGCACGGAGCTCAAGGCCAGCACTTGCCCTTGCTTTTTTAAACTTGGCCACCCCAGTGCCTCGCAAAGTGCCAGACGCCTGGCAGGCACCCACGAGCATCTATGCAAGTACAAACAGATGAACAAATGGCCACAGGTCACGGCCAGCAATGGCAGCGCCCGGCCCTGGGGGGCAGCACGAGTGTGTCCTCTCTTCCTTCCCAAATCTGCTTTCTTCCCTCTGCCCGGCTCCCAGATACTCCCAGAGGCCTGCCCGGCTGCCCACAGCCTTTCTTCCCCACCGAGGGGACGTCGCTACAGTCTTCTGTTTAAATATGTCGGTCCTATGGGGATGCCTGGGTGGCTCAGCCGGTTGAGCGTCCAACTCTTTGGTTTCGGCTCAGGTCACGATCTCAAGCTCCGTGAGTTCGAGCCCTGTGTCAGGCTCTGCGCTGACAGCACAGAGCCTGCTTGGGATTCTCTCTCTCTGCCCCTCCACTGCTCGTGCTCTCTCTCTCAAAATAAATAAACTTCAAAAAAAAAAAATTCATGTTGTGCTATGTAAGCACTGTTAGAAGAAAACACAGTGGCACATCTTTGTGATCTGGGCTGGGCAAAGCCTTCTTAGATGTGACACCAAAAAGCGCAAGTGACAGAAGCAAAAAATGGACACAGCGGACGCGAGCAAAGTCAAAAGTGTCTGTGTTTCTAACCCTACTGAGAAAATGAAAAGCCACAGGATGGGAGAAGGTATTTGCCAGTTTTATATCTGATAAGGGATGGACCCGCAGTACATAAACAATCCTGACACCTCAGTACAAAGCCAAATAGCCCAATTAAAAAAAAAAAAAAAAAATGGGCAAAGGACACAGACGTTTCTCCAAAGAAGACAGCAAACGGCCGATAAGCACACGAGCGGGGGCGCCACGTCCTCAGCCATGGGGGACACGCAAACCAGAAACGATAACGAGTTACCACTTCCCGCACGCTGGGAACGCTACAATCGTGACCGATGATGGTGGAGGAGGTGAAGACACTGGTGCGAATCCAAGATGGCGGTGGCCATGGGAGAACAGCCTGGCGGGTCCTCAAACGGTTAACATGGAAATGACACAGCCGCCCCACCCCTGGGCACCGACCCGAGCGAAATGGAAACACATGTCTACACAAACGCGCACGGACGTTCACCGCGGCATTACTCATAACGGCCGAGGAGGGGACACAACTCAAGTGTCTGTCAGCTGATAAGTGAACCAAGAAAATGTGGCGGGCCATACGATGGAAGATTACTTGGTAACAAAAGGGAATGACGTTCGGATGCACGCTGTGACGTGGAGAAGACTCAACAACAGTACGGTAAACGAAGGCGGCCAGTCACAAAAGTCAACACATTGTAGGATTCCACTCGCACTCAGTGTCCTGAATTGGCAAAGACAGGAAGTAGACAGTAGACTCGTGGTTGTCAGGGTCTAGGGAGAGAAGTGGCGATGGGGGGGGGGGGGGTACTGCTAACGGGTACAGCGTTTCTTTTGGGGGTGATGAAATGCTCCCAAAGTGGCTGTGAGGATGGGTACACAACTCTACGAACGGACTAAAAGCCACTGAATTGCACACTTTATTTTATTTAATTATTTTTTTTAAAGTCGGCTTCACACCCAGCACAGAGCCCAATGTGGGGCTTGAACTCATGACCCTGAGATCAAGCCCTGAGCTGAGATCAAGAGTCGGACGCTTAATCAACCGAGTCGCCCAGGCGCCCCTGAATTGTACAGTTCAAATGGGTGGTTTGAGGGGCCCCTGGGTGGCTCAGTAGGCTGAGTCAGGTCAGCTCGGGTCATGATCTCATGGTTCATGGGTTTGAGCCCTGCATCAGGCTCTGGGCTGACAGCTCAGAGCCTGGAGGCTGCTTCCGATTCTGTGTCTCCCTCTCTCTCTGCCCCTCCCCTGCTCATGCTCTGTCTCTCTCTCAAAAATAAATAAACATTTAAAAAATTAACAAATGGGGGGCGTCTGGGTGGCTCAGTTGGTTAAGCGGACAACTTCAGCTCAGGTCATCATCTCACGGTTCGTGGGTTCGAGTCCTGTGTCGGGCTCTGTGCTGAGCGCTAGCTTAGAGCCAGAGCCTGTTTCAGAGTCTGTGTCTCCCTCTCTCTCTGACCGTCCCCTGTTCATGCTGTCTCTCTCTCTCTCTCTCAGAAGTAAATAAAAAACATTAAAAAAATTTTTTTTAATTAACAAATGGGTGGATTGTATGGCGAATTATATCTCCATAAAGCTGTTACACCTATTTTTTTTTTTTTTTAAATGTTTTATTTATTTCTAGGAGAGAGAGAGACAGCGTGAGCAGGGGAGGGTCAGAGAGAGAGGGAGTCACAGACTCTGAAACAGGCTCCAGGCTCTGAGCTGGCAGTCAGCACAGAGCCCGACGCGGGGCTCGAACCCACGAACTGCGAGATCATGACCTAAGCGAAAGTCGGACGCTCAACCGACTAGGCCACCCAGGCGCCCCTGTTACACCTATTTTTAAGAACTGGATGTCACATCCATTAGGATGGCCACAATCAGAGAGGAAAAAACATGTATTAACAGGTGTTGGCGAGGATGCAGAGAAACTGAACCCTGGTGCGTGGTTCGTGGAAACATCCAACGGTGCATTCGCTATGAAAAAACAGTGCATTTCCTCACCACTGGAATTTCCGTTTGACCCAGCAATATGGGTATATATCCCAAAGAACTGAAAGCGTGGATTCGAACAGATATCTGCACACCATATTCACAGCGGCAGTACTCACAGTAGCCAGAGGGTAAAGAGAAAACGCACGTACCCACCAAAGGACAATAGATAAAGTATGTTCTATCCACACCAACCTTGAAAAGGAAGGAAATCCTGACACCCGTTAATTACAACATGGATGGACCTTGGGGACACTATGCTGAGTGAAATAAACCAGTCACCAAAGACAAATACTATGATCCCACCATGTATGAGTTGTCAAGTTCATAGAGATGGTAAGGAGGGCAGTGGGGGCCAGAAGCTCGGGGGGCGGGGGGAGAGGGGGGAGGGTGGCGAGAAGTCGGCGTATCACGGGAACAGACTTTCAGCTTAGTAGAAGCTGGTAGACGGTGGTGACAGTCACACAACACAGACGTGCTTGATACCAGAGACCTGTACGCTCGAAGATGGTCCGATTTTACGTTGTGCATATTTTTTTAAAAATATTTTTATTTATTTCTAGGAGAGAGAGAGAGAGAGAGACAGCGTGAGCAGGGGAGGGTCAGAGAGAGAGGGAGTCACAGACTCTGAAACAGGCTCCAGGCTCTGAGCTGGCAGTCAGCACAGAGCCCGACGCGGGGCTCGAACCCACGAACCGCGAGATCATGACCCAAGCGAAAGTCGGACGCCTAACCGACCAAGCCACCCAGGCGCCCCATTACGTTGTGCATATTTAACACAATCAAAGAAAAAGCGGGG